TTTAGAGGTTCCAAACTTTTTTTAGTATTTATGATTTTATTTTTCCTTAGACAATACTAAAATTTGTAGACAAAAAAAATCTTAATTCTTCATGAGAAAAGAAAAAAGAAAGATTGCCTACTTTTTAATATTAGTAATATTTTAGAATTTTAGACTAAAACACTCAAATTTTTATATTAGTAAATAAAATTTTTATAATAAGATTTGAAATAATATATTATAGACATATGGCTAATATCTTATTCAATTTATAGCAACACTATTCATATAAATAATAATATCATCATATGAAGTTAATGTTTGTGTCTTATAAATATATTACAATATAAATAACAAATGTGAAAATAGTGAATTTGAATTTAGGCTTCTATTTTTATTGAACTGCCATTGAAATTATACGGGGTATCTTTAATTTTTCATGTGAATTTTTCTCTCATCTATGAGTGACTTCCATCACCAATCACTTTACTTATTGAAAAATATTTGGTTCAACATCGATTGTCATTCACAAATAAACATTTATATATTACTAATTAATATCTCAAAGAAGGTAAGCATCAAAATACCTTAAAAGATTATATCGTTAAGAAGTATAAAATTAAATTATCTTTTTAAATGTATTTTAAAAATAAATTATCAATGGATTACAATATTCATGTAGGAAGCAAAGGTGATGGAGGATGTAGTTGGATACCAAAAGATAGTTGAAAATTTAATTTATCTCACTATTACTAAATTAGACATATGTTTTACGCTGCAAGTACTTAGTCGGTAAAGACCAAAACATTTCCATTTGGAAGCTGCTACGAGAGTAGTTAAGTATCTCAAAATATCATGGTTTATTTTTTTCATCTAATATAACAAAGGAATTAATTGCCTATTGTGAGTCTGATAGGACAATCTGCCATGACATTAGTAGATTGTCACTGAATATGTTATGAAGTTAGATGATACATTCTATCTTCAAAATTTAAGAAACAACAAACAGTTAGCAGAAGTTATGTAGACTTTTATGCTTGGTAGTTTGTTAGTGCTTTGATAAGTTGGTTAGCAAATTAACAGAATTCAATTAGTTAGTTGGGAGTAAGGGTGTTAGTTAGTTTTCGTATCAAATGAGTAAATGACTATATATAAAAAGCATATTCAATGTATTGAAACAAGTTAGACGGAATAAATAATGATGATCAACACCTCTCTTCCCTCCCATCTTCTACATTCATAGTTAGTTAATTTGATAGAAGCTTTTAGTCTTCAATTATTTGAATGTGCACTTTTAATTTCTTAACTAGTGACTATTTACAACATTTAGAATTATCAATGATGGTGGATTAAGAAATATTATATCTCAACTATTTTTTATTTGAAAATCGCTACATAGAATGAGTGTTCAGCTAATATATTTCAATGAATTACTAGATTTTGTACATTAATAATAGTGCTTGTCACAAAAGTCAATAGGTAAGCACCCATTATACATAGCATAGATCCTCCAGCTTATCAATTGTTCTATTATTTAATTGTCTATATGTGTTATGTTAATTTTGTGTTGTTACATAAATGAGAATAAACCACTTCTACAAATAGATCATATATATTATTTTACGTAAAGAGATCAAAAGACATATTTTAATTAATTAAATTAAAAATTAAACGTATTGAATCATATATTATCAATTAAAATTAGAATTTATCAATACCCAAAGAATGAAAAATGTTTTTCTCACTTCAGTTCGATTTAAATTTCAATTGTGGTCTTTTTAATGGGACGAGTTTAGTGGTGAATTTTGCATGCGGGGATTTCCTGAACAACTAATTACCTCATCTGTTATTTCTCAAAAATAGTTGAATTTATGTTTATCCAGTGTCAGTTGTCCGATAAATTTTATTCAGATATTCAAATTTTTATTTATTCTAATTAAGCAATTAAATAAATTATAAAGTCTTTTTATTAGACATATTTAATTCAAATTTTGAAAAAAAATTATATGTATTATGTGGACAAGTTAATCATTTAAAATATATCATATTCTTTAATTATATGTATTCACCTCAATAAACGGTAATACTCCAGTCCCGTATTACAATTGATGTTGATACGACATACTTTATATGGTTAACTTAATCACCCAATAGATACGCAATTGAGAACATGCACAAAGTTTTTCCAAATTAAAATTTGAACTAAAAGTGTCTAATAGAAATATTTTATTACGTGTTCAGAAGTTCAATTGAAACAAGCGGTTGTTTGAAAAATTTGCATACCAATAAATTTAAAAGATTGTCGATGTATGTATCGACATGGAAAAACAAAAAAAAGGATGGTGACAGGAAAGAAGCAAAAAAGGGTGAGGGGATTATTTGTAGGATACGTTGCTTGTGCTGGTAGAATTAATTCACTTTATTGAAGTAGAAGCTCTGCATAATATCTCATATATATTCACACTTACTATACTATAGGTATTTTTGCTTTTGGGCCATGCTACCCGCTAGCTGCCAATTAGCCATTTAAATGCACCTAAATTCTTGGCATGGTGACTGCTTTTTGCATGTGCTTCCATATGCTATTGAAAGCTCTTATCATCAAGGTTATAATAAGGTGAAAGAGTTGCACTATTATATAACGTTCCAATTAATATACATTGTACACGTTCGATATTTGATATATATGGGGTTACCCATACTCTTTCATTTATTTTTTCAATCCCATAATGTTCATCAAAGTAAGGTGAAAGAGTAGAATGTAAGAATATATTTATGTAAAGTAGTTTTTTATTAAAATAAATTAGATCTATCAATAAACGAATCTAGCTCCAAGCAGAGTCGGTATTGGGGTTGGTTTGGTTGATCGCCCAAAAAAGGATTCTTATTCCATCCGTAAGTATGACATGCAATGGCGTAGCACAATATTTGAACGAAAGAGTTCTGGGTTTGAACCCCAAATAGCACAATATTTTTTTTGTTTTATATTGACAGTCAAACATCATTATTCTTGGACACCCTTAATAAAATTTTTGGTTCCGCCACTGGTTATGAGTTATTTTACTGCTATTGTTTGGTATTCGAACATTGACTTTAGGCCTTTTTTCACCCCTTCTTATCCTGAAAAAACAAGGATATCTTACGTTCTTGAACTGATCTATGCAAGGCAAATTTGGCTACTACTTTTTAATGTGTATATCCGCGATAATTTCATTTCTTTCGACGGAATTAATTAAAAGATGGCCGCGTTCCACTTAAATTCACCCCTATGCCTCTTCCAAACTTCTTTACTTCTTTACTTAACGCATCATTCAAGAAGTCTTGTAAATTAAGTGAATGCATGCTAGTCTACAAGAAACTAGGTATGAATATTATAGACAGACTAGGATTTTGATTTTGTGGGTTCTAGATTATAGAAAATATAATTTGTTGGATTCTTGATATATATTGAATTTTTAAATATAAGTATAAATTAATATAAATTTGAGCAAAAGTTACCCGTAATGTATATGATTAGCATATGTTAAAACATATGTGTTGAGCTTCCCATATTGATTGTGAGATTACCTATTAAAGTTCCTGATTTGGGGCAATTCTCATATTCAAATTAATCATGTTAGTTTAGTTTTTGGGTTGAGTAATTAGGCCCAAATAATTAAAGTTTATTTTATTAACATGGTGTTAGAGTCGTATTTATTCCATTTTTTAGTTATCCATGTTAGGCCACATGTTAGATTGTCCATGCTCCAGACATTCAATTTGTTGGTTGAATTAGATTAAATATTCATTTTCATAACAATATCAAACATGAAGAAATTATGGGAGAGACTACTAGTTTTCTAAAAAAAAAAAAACAATTCACACAATATTTGATACCTACTTTAAAGCCCGAAAAATCTAAATTTATATCTAACATTAATCCCATTTTAGAATGGTAAAACACGTGCATGATATTTGAGACCGATCGTTTTGCTCCATTGTTCTTGAGATATAGAATATTTACAAAAACGATTAAATTAGTTACACGTATTTTGAATATCTTATGTATAATTGTAGATGATCAATTGATGTACAATTAATTGTACGTAAACCATTTTCTACTTTGGATTATTAATGGAGTTTATAAGATTTAACAGGTCGACTAAATCATATGTTCAGTGAAATGGTCCTAACTAGGAAATAAATTACAAAAATTAAAAAAAGAAACTACAGCTGGTCCAATTATCTAAAGAATCATGTGAGGGAAGATGGTGATTGTAGACCATACAGCCAAGATTCATGTGATGCAACATGGGAATTTTCTCATCACATAAACAAAAAGAAACAATCAGATCCGTATACAAATTAATACTAATTTTGGGCGGAGACGGATCATACTAAGAATTTTTCTATTCTTAAGGCTTAAATTCGAAAACTTTGGTTAATTAAAAGAGGAATAGCGTCTCATCTTCTGTATCACATTTTTTATGGTAAAAAAATATAGTATTTAATTAATATTAATAGGATGATCATACGTAAGAAGAGAATATATACTCCAATAAAAATATCAAATTTTGGAGAGGATTTAAATCAATTATATATAAAGATTCAGGGTAAATGTGGATGAATGAAAATGGAAGCTGTATGGTTAATTTTTGCAATTGTGAAATTGAGCAACCTTAGAAAAAATGAATTTTGGTCTTGACTCAATTTCAAAGAAATGATTCTAACCCATTCCCTAAGGCACCAATGTAAGACTCTTTATACCCTTTCTCACGTCTAAAACTAACCATCTGAAGCATGACAATTTTAATATGGAGGCCAACATCGGGAAACAAGCATTGAAATGAGTCTATACATTGAGAATTGCCAAATTATATTTAAAATATCACTCATCCATTACAGGATCGATGTGAAACTCTTCATAAACAATAAAGTAAAAAACAAATAAAAAGAGACTCTAAATGAAGATATTATACAAATTATATATTTATTAATATATATATCAAGGTTGTGTGACATGTTCAAAATGATGAAAGCTACTATATTTCAGAACGAAAATTGATCCTTGAAGGCGTCCAAGGTGAAAATAAAACCTCCTTAATATTAGTCACAACTCCTTTATCAAAAGGATTTTTAGTGCTTCCATACTGCTGCCTAAAATTTTCATAAGCCGTCTGCCACAATAAAAAAAAATAATCAAAAAATCACAACTAGAGGATATTAAGAATTTCAGTATATAACTTTGATATTTGAATTAATCGGATCAGTAAGTTATGAATACTAAATGATAAGGCCAAAAGAAACTCATATAAATGTTCTTTAATATGTTATAAGCAAATAATCTATATTATTTTTCATATTGGAAATTATTTTCAAATTTATGATTGATTACATATCCTTTTAAATAATCTAATAATTCAGTTACATTGTCAATACATAAAAATTAAACTCAATCATTATGTGTTGTTCTAATGTCGACTTCTTAGTCATTGAGCTTTCATCTTAGGAATAGTGGTGACAAATAGACGAGTTGGCAGGTTGAGAAACAAGTCAATATAAACATGTAATAATCTGGCCACCCCGTATCTCATATGGAAAAAAATGGACTGAGTAAAAGATGGGTTATTGACTCGTATTAATAAATTGTACTCTATTTTAGAATTCAATATTCGGGTAAAACTCAGTAATTAATCTGATAATCAATTTACAAAAAATATTCCACAATACTATTTATCAACATTATATAGTCAAATTCAAGGTACAACTCAACAAGACTCCGACCTGACCACGACCAAGGAACAAATCCCTAGGAACCGATCGAATATGGACAAGTAGAATGGGTTAATCAAATAGGTAAAATATGGGCTCATTTTATCAACACTACCCGCAACAATACATTTTGATATTGGTATATGTAAAATTGAGACCAACCTGATTAGTAGCAATGAGAAACACATGATAACAAGTCAATCCACCAACAAAACATGCAGCAACAAAACTAAAACATGCCAACACCAATGTCTCAGGGCAATCTCTCACCAAACCAATCAAACCATTGCTACCATTCTTTTGTTGAATCTTTAAACATGAGAAACCAAATATGTAGACAAAGTAAACATTTGCAATAACCAACAGCAACACATAAAGTCGATAATTCCTCTGCATAAAAAAGGAACAAACAAAAAAAAATTATTAGATGCAAAAAATATTCATTCATCGATCTTCTTTCGTAGATTCGAAAAATTGTACTAACCAGTCCGATGCATTGACCAATCCAAGGGCAATGATGGTCAAAATTATCGACACAATTGTCACACACAATGCAATGGCAACTCCTAGCCGGACGATATATCTTACAAATTCGGCAATATTTTAATTTCAATTCCGAACCATTTACAAACACTCTTTTGCTTCTCACTCTCCCATTTTGAGTCGATTCAGGGGATGGTGATTCATTGTTCCGAGGAATAATTCCGGGATCAATCACACTAACCATTATTAAGTTCGCGAAAACCTGCAAGTATTGTAACGAAAATTATCATATAAGAATTGAAGAAAATTAACAACTCGATAGATTGAGTACTAGAAAGTTATAAAGTGACTCACAATTAAGGTCAATAACACACAAAAACTGATTTTTGATGCATTCTTTACAACATAAACAACAAAAACCAAACTTGATAGACTAATAGAAACTGTAGTTAACAGTAACCGTCTTGGATCCGGCCCACATATCAGTAACCCTTTGAAATAAAATACCTGCACAATTGGAACAATTCAAGGCTATTTAATTAGAACAACAATAAAAACATACGTGCAGTGAAATCCCACATGTGAGTTGTGGGGAGGTAGAATGTGCGCAGGCCTTACCACTACCTCGTGGAGGTAGAGAGGTTGTTTCTTAAAGACCCTCAGTAATTGTTAAGTGAATGTAATAGAACACAAATAGTAGTAACATACGTACATTTTTTCCTGGCCAAACGTGATAAAGTCTCACTTGTTTGATTTGATCTCCATGACGATCTTGTGTTACATTGTGCCATAAGGTGAATATATTCTTCTTAATTTTTGCAACAAAATCAGTCTCAACTTCCTCTATTGACGAATTATGTGATTCCGTTGTTTCGATAACCGTTTCCACTGATGAAACAATATCTGGACTCGTTTCAATTTCTTGAATAGGTTGTTGTAGCGAAGCCATTATTCATATGTGCAATGAAAAGTTCAAAGGCGGGTGTTGATAATTTGAATTGTCATAAGTAACTAACTTCTGAAAAAACTGAATTTTGATTCTACTCTAATGAATTTTGGGCTTGGGCCTACTTGTTGGGCCATATTATATGATCCACAATGTATAGGTGGAGAAGTGGGTAAATTGCCACTTTTAAAAGCTCTTAACACATTTAATCACTATGTTGATATGGAAAAAGTTTTAGACAAAAGTATCTCCAACTAAAACAAACACGGAGCAAAACTAATACAACAACATACGCAATGAAATCCTACGAATGGGGTTTGAGGAGAGTAGAATGTACATAGATGATAGACCTTACTACTACCTCGTGAACATATACAGGTTGTTTCTGAAAGACCCTCAGCTCATATGCAACAATTCAAGATACGGAGAAGAAAATATAGCGAATAACAAAGAAATAGTGCAACAACGTCTACTAGAAGAAAAGCAACAACTACAACAAAATAGTGCAATATTCAAAACACCATACACATCATACTAGGATAGAGTATTGAAAACAATAATAAATAATTAATGATAGATATCAAAACACAAGAACTACAGTTATACAACTAGTATACATTTTAAAACCTAAGAACGATTCATATTAAAATATATCTATTTCTCGATCATTTTTCAAACAACATGACTTTTTCTTATAGACAGGGTAAAGACTTCCATAATGTATGTTTTGGGCTTGGGCCAAATTTAATTTTGAAATAGAACCAGACCCAAGAGTCCAATACGAAGACATTTTCTTAAAACGAACACAAGCCGCCACAACAAGTATAAGAGCCAGATTTCAAATTGCACAGTGAAAAAGCACTTGCAAAAAGGGAAAGAAGAATCAGAGAGATTCATTGAAATGGAGAACAAGGAAAGTTTGAAGCTTGTTGTTAAACTCACCATAGCTACTTGTCTAACAGTGGCCATTTCCATATTCATAGCAAAAAGCTACCACAAAGTTCGAAAACACAACAGGAAAAAGCAACAAAAGAAGCATTCATGTTATCTTAATGCTGAAATCAGACCTCAATCTCATTTCAAACGAGTTCTTGCTGATAACTCTTATTCTCAATTCAAACACCTCAAATTCGACAACACTAATGGTACAATACAATATAATTTATTTAGTTTTAATTTGTTTTTTGAAACCCTAGCTGAATTATTGTGAATGTGTGTGACAGAGGATTCTACAAATTTGCATCCATATAAGGAGGAGATTACGGAGTTGATGAAGAATTCTAATGCTGAATTTTTGGAGCATTTTGGTGGAAATTTTGAGGATTTTACAATGCGTGAATCGTATGTATGGGTTGAGAGTGAGTCTCAATTGATGGAGCTTGCGGAAGTGTTGAGTAAGGAGAGAGTGTTTGCAGTTGATACAGAGCAGCATAGTTTGAGATCATTTTTAGGCTTCACAGCTCTAGTTCAGGTTTATTCTTCTCTTGATTAATCATGTGCTTCCCATTGTTAAAATGTCCTCGACGGAAATCAAAGTTTTTTTTTTTTTTACTGAGATTCGTGTCATTGATGGATGCATTTACATTGTTGTTAACTTTAATCTTTCACAATTGTAATGAACGCACCACTTCCGTGCCTCAATCCCTGCTCCCTTCTCATGTTACCATAAGTTATCTACATCCCAAGTTCCCAACCAAACGCTTTAAACTGGTTTTCTTAAAACAATTTATATCATCGTATTGTACCTTTTGCATGTTCTGAGCAGATATCAACTGAAAGGGAAGATTATCTTGTGGATACAATAGCTCTGCATGATGTTATGGCCATTCTTCGTCCTGTATTTGCCAATCCGGAAATTTGCAAGGTGATCTTGTTAATTTATGTGCTGATTAATTGTTATGTTTCTTATTTGATATATAAATTGCAAGCTGGTAACTCAGCAGTAGAAGGGTACTCCATTTCACAACCCACACTTGTGGTGCATAGTGCTTATCAGAATAGCTAATCTTTTGCTTCTTCCTAAAACTCCCTCTGTACATGTTTGACTTGACACACTCCATAAGAAACACTAAATAAAATGGTAATTTTACTATATCACCCCTGATTATTATAAGCAAGAGGCAACTTTAGGATTTCTAGAACATTGATGCACCACTAAAAACAAGAAGAAAAAATTCTATTAAGTGGGAATTGAACCTTAGTCCTTTAGGTAAATAACTCAACATCCAAATAAGTGCACCATTTAGCCTTGTTATAGCATGGACACCAACAGATAACATTATACCAATTTTAGAAAATATATACATAAAATATCTAGTTTTACGGAGAGACCTGTTAGAGTGGGTAAAAGTCCCACATTTGTTGAAGAATGGACTAGTGGTCTGTTTATATGGATTTGGGCAATCCTCCCCTCATGAGCTAGCTTTTGGGGTTGAGTTAGGCTCATGTCCATATCTTTATATGATATCAGTGCTAGGTCCATCCCCATTTGGGCTCTCGGTCCACGTTCTAGTTGGGCCTAGGCGTGAAGGGGGTATTAGAGTGGGTAAAAGTCCCAAATTGGTTGGGGAATGGACTGATGGTCTTCTTATATGAACTTGGGCAATCCTCCCCTCATGAGCTAGCTTTTAGGGTTTAGTTAGGCCCAGGTGCCATATCTTTACAAGACCATGGATTCACATGCCCTATTTTTAGTATAAATTCGTCACTGATTATAAGTCTATCTCACTCATTGGGAAATGAATTGGAAGTAATTAAGTACTTAATGGTAAGGGTAAAATAGGTATAAAGTAGTAAATTATCCCTTGTTTTTTCAAACTGGACAAGTAAAAGTGGACGGAGCGAGTAGTTCTCAAGTGACTCATCAAAAGGTGTTGTTTTTCCTGTTATAGGTATTCCATGGTGCAGATAACGATGTTCTTTGGCTTCAACGGGATTTCCACATTTATGTTGTTAATCTATTTGACACTGCAAAGGTAAGGTGTCAAGTTACTGTATATTCTTTTGTCTAATGAAGTGAAGATTTTAACTGAAGATGCATAGTGTGTTTTTCTTGTGTATGATTGACAATGATGTTTCTTATTTAGTTTTAAGCCGCTGTTGTTTTGTTTTATTCCAGGCTTGTGATGTGTTGTCTAAACCACAAAGGTCTTTGGCATATTTGCTGGATACATACTGTGGCATTGTCACGAATAAACTATTACAGGTATAGAAAGAAGCTTGCTGGATACATCATCTTCTTTTACATACACTTCTATTTCCTCCATGGGTTGCTGTTGCTATCTTTTCTGTTGATGAGTTGTGATGGATGGAATTTTTTAATCTCTATTTCTTTATTATTATCAGTGTCATATTTTTGGTGGATTTGAATTTTGAGTGGAACTTAGGAATATAATAGATTTTCATAGAATTGTGGAAAGGAATACGATAATGCTGTCTGAGTTCTAGATTGTATTTATCTCTCTCGAAATGTCACTTTCATTTCCCTTTTCCTCAGAGCTGATGCATTAAGACTAATTGTGTCCCTTGAAGTAAAGAATTCCTTAAATAATGGTGCTATTAGATGAAAACTGCAAATTAATTGATTATGTAGGTAGTGTGAGTGTGTGTGACCGCAGCACTGGTGCTGCCCTTCTTGCTACCATCTCTTAAATTGTTAGCGAAACAAGATTTGCACTTATATTGCCTCTGAGCAGACTGGACACTTTGAAAAGGAATATAGACACTGGCAATTGCTCTTTGGAATAGGTAACACTGTGGTTTATGAACGTAAAGTGGCTGGCCATTATCCTCTGATCAGCAAACATGATTTTCAGTGGATACATTGGTGATTTGAGCATATTTCATGCTATACTGTAGTGTTGGTGCACTGCTCTTATAGTTCAGCTGACAAAATCTTGATCTAAACTACAGTTCTATTCTTTATTAAAACTTTAGAAAGAAGACTGGAGGCAACGTCCACTTCCCGCTGAAATGGTGCAATATGCTCGAACTGATGCACACTATTTGATGTACATCGCGCATCGTCTTTCTTGCGAGCTCAAACAACATGATACTGGTATGGGTCTCCACTTATGTAAACAAATAAACATTAGTCTTCTACTCTCCTAACTAATATGTGGAAGTGTATACACTTATTATCTCTATGAGTGGAGAGCTTGCTGAGATCCTCTCAGTATACACTTCTGCAAACTTGTTAGTTGGATACAAATTATGGTTTGTTGAGCATCTCTGAGGTTGAGAGGAAGTGTGTGTTATTAGTCAGCTCTTATACTATGCAATCAAGTCCTTGTAGCCATGTGCTGAAGGAACTTTTTGGTAATATTTATTGAGTTCAAGCCCTCTTTCACTTATGAGGGTTACTTTTGCATTTATTAAATCTGTAAACCTAATGTGACATGAAAGTTGAAGGTAAATGGTTCTGCCGTCCCAATTTATATGACATTCTTTTTATATTGTGGCATCCCAAATATATAATATCATTTTTCAAATGCGATTATTTTTTAACTTTCACAAGGTTCAAGCATTCACATCTAAAAATAACCAAATTTAAGTTGTAGTGATCTTTTCTCATCAAGTTTATCTTGTAACTATTACTTCAATACTTTCTTCTACTACAAACTTGTTTAATATGCTAGTTAAAGTAGTACAAATCCATGTCTGGTCACATAAAATGGAAGGGAGTACATAGTATAACTTGCATCCTTGCTGGACATAGTGTTTTAAGGTGACATAGGTTTTTTGAAGGTCAGTATGAATGGGTCCTAAGCAATATCTGATAATTTGAGTAAAGGATAGTGAATAGTTTGGGGCTTTACTGCTGAAGAACTCTGTTGGAAGTAGCTTAAGCTTACCAATGTTCATTAAAAAGGTCGCACTTCCACTTGGATGCCCATGAGTACATCATGCTGATAGGAAGTTTGTTCTTCAGAAAAAGATCATAGAATTGTAAGTTTGATTGGCAAAATTTGTTAGCAAAACAACTAAGATGTTAAAGCTTTAGA